CTCAACTTCTGCTGAAATATTTCTAGGATATCTACGGTGGTATCCGCGAGACGGGTTACAATGGATCCGGAAGCACCTGGTGGGGAGGAGACAAGCCCATTGCTACCGGTAAGATCGGCTCACCCCTCGCCGTAGCCGCATCGCCTGGCTTGAAGCATGTGAGTACATTGCTTCCCACAGGGCCGAAGTAAGTCGACTGACAGTGCTACGAAGATCCGGCTCTACTACATCAGCACCGACTTCAAGCTGTCCGAGCTCTGCTACGATGCCGATTCGAGCAGTAAGGGGTGGTTTCCTGGCGAACTTAGTGGCAAGGGTTTTCAGATTGCTCCTTACTCGCAGATTGCAGCTGCATATTTGTCCACTGATCAGCTCAAGATTCGGTACGTCAACACGTTTTCTTCATTGATGCATCACTCAATCTTGATCAAGAGTTCGAGATCGATAAGTTGTGGCAGGTATGCCATCTTTTGAAGCTCTTGCTTATTGGGTCGACAATCAGGGTGTATGTCCAGGCTCCGGACAATTCCATCCAAGAGTACAGCAATGATGGTATAAGAATCCATCCTTTCCTAGTTCAACACTACTAAAACTTCCAGGTTCATGGTACAAGGACCAAAACTTGGGGACATCTGTCCCCGGAAGCAGCATTTCATTCATCTCGTATGGTGGAAATGCAACCAGCCTTCGGTAAGTTCGTCTTTCCATGATGCCCCTCACACTCCGCCAATGCCAATTCCAACTCGCTGACTTGAATCCACAAGTGTCTACTATCAAACCCCAAATCTTGACTTGATCGAAAAAGCTCACGAGAACACTGGTGTTTGGCACACCGGCGAGTTTTCCGTCAAGTCAGCAGTTCCCCGCGCTGCCATCTCAGCAACGGTCTGGACCTGGTCCAGTGGAACTGGCATTCGTGTGTACTACACTGGTGCCAACGATCTCATCCTCGAGAAAGCAAACGATGGAGCTTGGTACGATGGTGCCTTCAGGGTGAGTTCAGCTTCTGAAAACGGATCTCCTCACGTCGTCGGGCCTGAAAAGTTGTCATACTATACTGCTAGACTGGATGTCTCTTATGCCTCGCTCGCATTGAACTCTCCTCCCTACATCCATTTGAGGCCTCAGTAAGCTGACTTCGATATTCTACAATTTTAGCAACTTTCCGTTCCAGGCTCACGGGTTGGATCCCTTTCTTGGTACGCGAGCAGCACCAAGGCTCCTGAGATCCGCGTCTACTTCCAGAGCGGAGAGCAAGTCACAGCTGTAACCGAATGGAAGTGGCAAGGTGGACTTGGTGCATGGAACATCGGTCACAAAGCTCTGCCACCAGCGGCCCAGTAAGCTTGCCAGGATAGACTGTTCTCAGCAGTCCCAAATCGAGAAAAGAAAAAGGCCAAGGTTCAAGTTGAGGGTTTCGGGGACGATGTTGACGGATCTTTTGCGTTTTACCATTTCATAACACACTCCTTTACTTTTAGTAGCAACTAAATCAAAAAGCTATGGCCATGGCACATCAATGCTCCTTCGTTTGTGACTTTCAAACTTCCCCTCAGTGCATCTCATTCGGAATATCATTATTTCGTTGATTCTATTCACTGACACGTCTATTTCATGGACCAGGCCGCCGCTTCCGATTGTTACACGACGTGGCGTTCCCTTCAGAGCTGAACATTGTTCAAAAGACCACTTTCCACCTAATCCCTCGTCAATATCTCACAGCATCCGAATAATCATCTGCATGTCAGACAACCATTCTTCCCCGCATTTCAGGCTTTCAGCTCTTAGTGAACTCATGGCTAAGCTCGAGGAGCAAGCTGGAAGACGTTGCCCAGAGTAATCATCACCCTTTTCCCATCTTGGCCGACATGCCGCTAATCGCGAGGGAAAACGAGTGTCGGGTTGTCGAGAGTCTTGTGTAAGCGTAGGTACATATTCAGGTATCATCTGCGCGTGAGGCTCTCGGCGAGGTATCATTGAGGCTTGCGGAGAAATCTAGAGTAGCTTCGACGAGGCTTTCATGATTCATTTCCCGGACTCTGTATATGCACGATAAGATATTTTCAGCTTCTTCAGAGTCCCTTCAAGATTTGGAATTCATTTGGACAATATCTTGAGAATGCGCATCTGATGCAAGAAGTCGGAATATGAATTGTTGTGGTGTAATTTTGTCTTGATGAAAAGCTAGAGAAGCATCATTCCCCGTCGTCCAGCTTCCATCTGGGAAGCCAACAATGTTCAAGAGCGCTGAACGTTTCATTTGAACATGGATTGCATTAACCTCAGCTCCGATGCTCGACATCTGTAAATTTTTGGTAGTAAATGTGCTGTCCATGGTCATTCAGTTCTACGAGGTGCCTGGTATATAAGTTCCAATACTTTCTCGCCTGAGCAGCATCACCATCATCAACAGCATCGCCCACAAATATCAAGAACACTCTAAAATCAGCAGCAATTTCACTCCAATACCTTTTTGGGTCCATTTTGTCCAGAACAGTATCACCGAACTTCTTCAATCTATTAGTAACTCCTCAGCATGTCTTCAGTTCCAGTTGAACAGATTGCTTTCCGTAAATTCCCCAACTCTCCTCCACAACTGTCGAGTGTTTGCTTAGTACCCGGATATAGGCACTGCAATTGCGGCAGTCAATTCAGCAGACCATCTCCGTGTTTACTCTCAAGGTCAGCACTGTCTTCTTGGAAATTGTTATTACGAATCCTCGCCACCCTGCAAAGACATGAACTTGTTCCATTGCAGAGCTCTAAAACTTCACCCACTAGGTGATCTATACGACTCAACTTCTAACCCCAGGTTTTAGATGTTCTTGGAGGTATTCGCGAGAGCAGCTACGAAGGTGGCTGGAGCGGTGGAGTAAATGTCCTCTCCACCGCCAAACGCGATTCCCCAATGGCTGCCGCATTCAAGGGACTCGAAAAGGTGCGTGTACACAACCAACCAGATCCCCCTTAATCTAATACGAACTCGATCGTTGTAGAGTTTATCGTTGACTCTTTTAGATTCGCCTGTACTCAATGTCATCCGACAACAAGCTCCGCGAGTTCGCTTACGACTCCAATGTTGGCTGGTACGATGGGGCCATCAACAAGTCGAACTTCCAATTGGCTCCTTACTCTCAAATCGCCGCCACGGCTTTGCTTCCTAAGCAGGAATTTACCCTCCGTGTTTATGTGCAGATCCCCGATAAGACCATCCAGGAGTACGGATATGATAGTAAGCGACCTTCCCTCCCCTCTGTCCTCGTTCAAAAAGCTTTGCTCAGAACCGATTGCTAACTGGTGTTGACTCGTCATAGATTCTTCCAGCGGCTGGCAGAAGATGAGCAACCTAGGACCAGCACTGGCTGGTACTAGTATTGCTGCCACTTCCTACGGAGGGTCCACAGGCCTGAGCATCAGGTATGCATCTACTACTCCAATCCACTCAACTCACGACTGACCTCGCAAAGAGTCTACTTCCAAAAGCCGGACCGCTCGATCACCGAGCTCTGCTACGACAGTCAGACAACCTGGTACACCGGTTCCCTCTCCATCCCAGCATCATCCACCACTCCTCGTGCCTCCCTCGCCTGCACCAAATTCAACGACACCAAATCCGGCATCAGTCTCCGCGTCTACTATTCCTCTCCCAACAACAGCATCCTCGAGAAGGGGTTCGATGGCAACGGCTGGTACGATGGTGGCTTCGAACAGAAGACCATTCCCGGCTCCAAGGTCTCTGCTATTTCTTGGCAGAATGGAGGTGAAATCCAGATCAGGATCTATTTCCAGAAGGGTGAGCATGTCACCGCTGTTTCGGAGTGGGTTTGGGATGGGGCTGGGTGGACTGGGGGGGTTGCTGCTTTGCCACCTGCTTAGGGGCATTGTGGCAAGCAGTTATGCTTGAAATTGCTTATCTGCACATCTACTGAATTGTAGTGATTGCGTTGGATCTATCCTGTTCCGGTTTTCTGTGGCTTTCGCCAACTCAGTCACTCGTTTTTCATTAGCTCAATTGTCTTTCTTCAGTCAAACAAGGATGTAAACATGAAGCAACAAGCTTCCCAGAAACTAATAACACCATGTCCTAAAGCTTTCAAATATGCGTTTATACCTTTCTTAATAGTTGATGATACATCGTTTTAAGAATGAGATTTGGTCAGAATCCTATAATTTAAGCGAGATTGTTAAGTAAATAACATATGCTTATCCACCTACTCATCAAATCTAAAGTGATTCCCAGCTCCCAATAGAAAAACTATCTCTGGTCTTCCTAATAGGAAACACTAAGCTGGATCTCTTACCCGTTCTCCAGAGCCGAGGGCATGCATGGGCTAGATGTGGTGAGTAACGATTCAACAAAATAAGCATCAAAATTCAGGATAAGGAATTATAAACCGACGGTGATTTGACTAGTACTCCTCAAATTTCTCATTAAATTCTCCTTCTCTACTCGTCTTGTATGCTGTTTTCTAGGTTTATACGTGGTGAGCTGTTGCATATAAAAACGACTTCACGCTACTCACCTCTCAGAGTTCTCAGATCGTACATCATGAAATTCTGTAACATGGTCTATCAGGACTTCAAAACACAGTTTAATTGTAACTGGAGTCTTTTTTTTTAAAAAAAAAAAGAAAGACCACCTAATGTCCAGTCCATGACCGCTTTCAAGAATCAGGAGTCACACTTTAGAATTAAATTCAACATCGGGCCCTTTCAAAATCAAAGGACGCAAAAGTAAATACGAACATCCAAAACACTACAAGCAAATTATTAACCACTAATAAATCAAAATCTCTCCATTTAAACATTCCTTTCTAAGCATATCTTTCCAGACAAGCCTCCCCTTTGTTTGCCAAGCCGGCCTTGGTTACATAAGTAAGTTGTTCGCGCCTTCCCTCCTTTCTCCCCCGCCTTCCTCCAAAAAGCTATAAGAATCATAACCTATTCAAAAGTCCAAATAAGAAAACTCCAGCCAATACTTCAATTCAACTGGATGCAAAAGTGGGTTGGCCAAGTGGTAAGGCATCTCTCTCACACAGGACCTACAAACTCGTTACACCGAGTCTGTAGGTTCAGAACAGAGAAAATCGTGGGTTCGACCCCCACACTCACTAAACATCTTGATTTCAATTTTTTTCTTTGGACTTTTGGTGCTTTTTGGGAGAGCCCAGGTTGGGTTTATATTTAAGTGTTAGGGTATGTTGGTAGTCACTGCTGAGGTATCCTCTTTGAAGGTTGAAAGTCATGTTCATTTCATTATGCATGTGCTACCAACGAGAATATGGTAGATAAACGAAAACACGAACGCGATTAGACCACGCATAAACCAAAACGCCAACACCACCCGTGCCACCATCCGAGCCGAGCCTCCCGCCATATATGCTCATTACTTCATACATCATACAACCTGCCCCTGGATTCAAATCGTCTAAGCACCAGCCTGGACAACTCTAAAGCCACCAGTGACCAACTTAGTGATATCTTCATTCTTGTGTTGAAGGAGACTCAGTGCGTAGGCAACATCGTTCCACTGCCTCTCGGTCTCACAACGGGCAAGTCTGGCGGCGAGTTTGTCTGCGAGTTGCTTGGCGTGTTTGTCCTGTTGGTTTGTTAGTCAATGTACCCAATAATAGCAAAGACGAGGGGCCGTACCTTCTCAATAAACCCAGCAAGGAACTTGATGATTCTCTTCAAAGCATCCTCTTCTAAGTCCTTCTCCGCACTCAACAAACTAAACATATCAACAAAGTGATTGTACACTGCATTGTCTTTGGTGCTCAACTCGGTGAAGAACATGCGACTGAGATCCGCAATCCTCTTGTCGTCGTCCTCGAGACACTTGGCCATCTCGCCTAGTTGACCCTTGACCTTGACTTGACCTGCCAAGATTAGGAATGTGAGAGTCATCAAGCATGTACGCTTCACACTTGCATCCTTGTCATTGAGTCGGCGGTAGAGGAAGTCGGTATTTTCATCGATGAGATGGTTAAAGCAGACTGCCATGTCACCAAGTGCAATGACGACGTTGGATCGAGTGATGGGGTCCTTCGAACGCTCGAGGATGGTGATAAGAAGTGGGAGGTTGGTCTCACAGTACTCGGAACTCACACACATGAGCTTAGCCAAGCAAAGAGTAGCGGCTGCTTGAAGGTTACGGTCTCTGTATGTGGTGTTGTTTGAGCAAATCTCAGAGACGAGTGGGCCGAAGTTGGCAAGCAAAGAATTCTCGCCGTAAAGAAGCTCACGCTCACGGATATGTGACATGGCTTCAGTGAAGTCATCTTCGGTGGTACCGCCAATCATGTCGAGGTCATCAGCTGCCTCCTTGGCAGCTTTGTCTGCTGGTGCTTCAGAAGTTGGCTTGTTCTTCTCAGCTTCCGCCTTCCTTCGCTTGAAGTCTAGTTCGCAGAGTTCCAAGTGGACGATTTGCTTGATTGCAACATGACCAACGATGAAGAGAAGTTGTGAAAGAGCTATGGAACCCTTGAGTTTTGGCTCAGGCTCTGCGGGCTGTTCTGGAGGCGGAGATGCCATCTGGGTGTCCTCGCCCGCTGGTTCCTCAGGTTCTGGGGTCTTGGCGGTACGTTTCTGGAAGACGTACTTCGTTTTCCTCCTCAAAATTTCCGAGCAAAGGGTATCGGGATGTTTCGAAAGTGTGTAAATGGCATTGATTGCCTGTTCGGCCACACCATACCACTCCTTGTTATCCGACTCGATTTCAACAATGGCGCCAAGCTTGAGGAGAACAGCATGATCGTTGGGGAGCTTTGAAGGCTGTGCAGCAGTTTCTTTGGCTTGTCGGCCAGTTGGGTTGATCCGTCGAAGAGCTATGCAGGTGTACTTGGCTAGTTGGAGATCTGATCGACCAAGACCCCCCAAGCCTATCCTTAACATGGTTTCCATTTCTCCGACGACGATTTCAGGCTTCGCAGTTGCCAGCATACCGAGGACAATGATTGCTCCTCGTCGTTGACTCTTCGAGATTTCCCGTTTCTGAACACCATAGACTTGCCAAAGTTTCTGAACAACAAGTTCAGAAATATGGTTTGCCTTCATCATGGTGCTAAGCAGTTGCTCCAACGAAGTCAGTTCTGCTGGAGTTGCACCAAAAGTCAAACTGATCATGTTCCGAGCGATGTAGTTTGCAGCATCGTTGGCTGTGTAGGAGTCTGGTGCTTCAAAAAAGAGACGCTTGTAGCATTCGATAAGATGATTTTGGACGCCCTTTCCTTCATCACTGTTGCCCTTGGTCCAGATGAGTCGCAACATCCGTCGGATACCAAGCTTGTTTTGCTCAATGTTGTATGCATCACCAATCTCGAAATACTCCATGGCTTCGATGACTTCGCTCTTGTTTTTGGATCCAAGAAGTTGGCAAATGGTAGTGGTAGCTCCGTGCAAGACCTCAATGAACTTGAGAGCCTCCACATAGTATCTCCTCGTCAGTGTGAGCTTATTGATGGCTTCGGAAGTTGCAGCATCCTCCTGAGCTTTCTTGATTGCAGCAATTTTCTGCTCATTACTCATTGGCTTCTGGGGGGAGTCGGACTGAATAACCGTGGCATCATCCAATAAGGCTGGGTCTACAGTAACATCGGCCTTGGTAGTATCGACGAGACCTGGAGTCTCGGCCGGGGGCTTCAAACCATTCAACTCGGCATCCACAGCATCCAATCGAGAATTCCATTCCTTGAGTGAAAGCTGGGATCCGTGCATTATGCTGAAAGGGTGGGTCTTGATGAGAGTGCCAAGCAGCTTAATGGCATTTCGACGGACATTGCTGCTCTTGTCCTCCAAACTCCTTGCTGCCAATTCAGCGGCCTTTTGTCTTCGTTTTGGGAATTTCTGCTCAAGATCGCAGAGTTTGATGTAAACCTGAATGGTCCGGCATCGGCAGTAGGGGTTAATATCCAGGAACCGCTCTTCTAAAACATCGAAGAAAGCGTTCAGCTGTGACTTGTGGTTATCACCACGTTCCTCCTGCTTGCTGAGATCTGCTACGAGATTTCCACAAACTTCAATGAGCGCACATCGAAGAGCATAAGACTCGCTGTCTAACTGTTTCGCTAACATAGTCATTTGCTTGATGACAAGTCTGGGCGCTAGCTCGGAGAGCTTGACAATGAAGGTAGAGACCGATTTGGGCCCTTTCGTATCATTGCTGTTGAACTCCTTGTTACTCAGCTCTCGAAGTATCTCGTCTGCTAGTTGGGGGTAGTCGTATTGTTCTGAGAGAATGTGGAGGAATTCGGCCATGGGTTCTGCCAGATGCTCGAAGTATGTCAAGTTCTGCACAATGGATATCTGGGCCGCTAGAAAACATGTCAGTACCAAGGAAATACTAGTTGAAAATCCTGTCCTTACCATAACCATGTCCGTGGTGTTTGACTGCTATGCATAAAACCTTGAATGCGTGCATCCGAATGGCAGTATTCTTGACTCTCTGCTCGCTCTCTAGAACCATGTATACCGGCCTTGTGAACAGACTGATGAAAGTATCCCGTTCCGAGGTCGTCAAGAAAATCTTGGACAACTTCAACTTCAGGACCTTACACATAGTATCCAATGCAGTCTGTAGCTGGGCACTGGAGTCCCAGTTTCCATCTTTGTCCTTACCAGCAGCGGCCTTGGACTTTGCACCCTTCCCTCTTCCTCTTGCAGCTGGCGCCGAACTGGATTTCTCGGCAGCTTTCGTTTCGACAGCGGCAATAGTCCATTGTAACAAGAAGCCGAAGACTTCCAGCAATTGTTTATGGTGGGAGATCAGTTCCTGCTCGTCGGTTTCAAGATCATTGTGTATGATGTCGGCCTCAGTCGACAGCCCCGACACGATCAGGTCGAGGATCTTCGAAAGCGCATGTGTAGGAAGGACCGATGAGGATCTAGAGAGTTTGAAGAGTTCAGAGTCGGGTTCTGATATATAGTTTTGGGAGGAGGGAAGAGAAATGGGAGCGCACTTTAGGAGGAACTGCAGAGAGTCAAACGACGAGCTTCTGGTGATAGCGTCGGGATTCTCTGCTACTGAGTCCACGATCGGATTGAGGACTGTGTTGATCAGGGAGTTTGTGAGGGCTTCGGGGTCGTTTTCGCAGTCCACTAGATTGGAATCTGCTTCGGGGGTTGCGATGGTCGAAGGATCGCTCATGTAATGTTTGAGAGCATCATTGATGTCGAAATTAATTGTATCCATTTTGGCGATTTATGCGCAGTGTTCTGCTGCGAAAGTGCAGACATCAACGGATTGTTGTTCAGGTGCTGGGATGTAAATATTGTTGTCGCAAAGACCAGGGTCTGTCTGTTGACATCGGCGAATCGCGTTTTCCGCGTTGTTTTGTTCGCGTCTCCTTCGGGAATAGCCCGTTGGCTGTTGACAACCACTTCCACCCCACCTTGCAGACAGATGGTACCTGAAACTAAACAACCAATTGCAAGCTTCCCGAATACCCAACTGCTGATATTGGAAGCTTGACCGCAGCAGCTCTTGTATACTATCTACTACAGAGCTGCAAGATGGCGACAGTACGGTCGAGAAGCGCGAAACCTTTCGAAATCCACCACGACGAGATGGTGGACGAGTCAATGGAGGAAGAGGATCACAGGATGGAAGACTCGAGAGCGGAGACTGAAGAGGAGCAGGATGACCGAGAGGATGCCTACTCGGATATGTCTGATGAGAGTGATGGGCTAGTTGACTCTACGGTGCAAGAAGACATGGATAAGTTTCAAGACAATTTCAGAGGGCTGAAAGATCGCTTCCGACTTATCAACCGGATTGGAGAGGGTAATATGCTTCCTACAATCGCTCGCTACATATATTAACGCGTTATAGGTACGTTTTCTACGGTATACAAGGCCGAGGATCTGCTGTACGAGCACTACCAGAACGAGTGGGATATCGAGGAGAAAGAAAATTCGCAATGGACATCACCACCACTGAAAAAAGCGCGCCGGGACATGGATTCGCTGACAGAAAGGAACGAATATGCGCAGCAAAGACGACGGCCGAAATATGTTGCGATTAAGAAGATCTATGTTACCAGCAGTCCATCTCGGATCCTCAACGAGCTAGAACTCCTCAACGACCTCCGAGGCTTCGACTCAGTCTGCCCTCTCA